CCTGCACAGGAGAGAAAAGACAGGAAGATGCTCATGGTCAGTATCTTTGGTTTAACTCCACTGTGAGTCACTGACAGCAGGACTGTATTTCATCACAGTGAGTCAGAAGAACTTAGTACAGAGGAAAGGGAAGAGGCGGAGCTGTTTGTTTTATAAAAAACTCTTTAGGAGCACAAGATAGAGACACAAAACCAGGCACAACGGAAGAACTCACAGCGTCTCTGACTGCCCAATGTACAGATTCACAGAAGTGAGAGTTTCATCATTAGTGATGATGATGAAGATGCTTCTCTTCTTCACGATCTGCCTGATTAAAGGTAAGAAGCTGTTTTCATTACAGTATCAACCTGTATGTGACAGCTGTTTTTTTTACTATTGACTCAACTGAGATCTAATCGTGTCTGTGAGAGTCTTTTGTCTTTATTTGTGCATTTTTGAAGTTTGCTGTCAGTATCTGACCATAAGGCACTTATTAAAAGAGGAAGTGAATTTTGATTGACAGGTCACATGGGTGATGCTGCTGACCCTGTGCCTGCCATCACAGGAGGAAGTGTCATCATCAACTGTATGTATAATCGGGAAAATGCGAAAACCAGTGCAAAAAGCTTTTGCAAAATGTTGGGCAGTGAATGTACAACCATGACAGAAGAAAAGAACGATGTATGGATCCCAGAAGAGAGATTCTCTATGACCGATAATAAAACTCTGGGTCTGATTAGTGTGCTCATTAGAAACCTGACTGTAAATGACAGCGGGACGTACAGATGTAAAGATGGCAGCGAATGGTTTCAGGAGGTGAAATTCAACGTGGAACCAGGTAGAAATTAATATTTATTCAACAAATTGTGCAGGCGTTTAGATTTAACATTTTATGTTTATTCCCAAGACAAGTGTACACCAATTGGAATTATGAAATTAAAACTCTTTTGGTTTCAGAGTCGTGTTGTGGGACATCAGAGGAACAGACTGCGTATATTTTAGGAACGGCTGTCATCCACTGCAAATATCCCGAGAAATATAAAGACCATCTCAAGCAATTATATAAAGTGCAGAATGGATCGTTAGTGTCTATTCATATAGTTGGAAGTTCGACCACCAATGAGAGATTTTCTCTGAATGTAAATGAACAGGAGCATGTCCTCACTGTGACTATTGCTTATGTGAGCAGACATGATGATGGGGTGTATTTCTGTGGAATATACAACAACCTTATCTACACTCCCCTTTTCTCAGAGATTCAACTTCATGTTTCAGGTGAGAGCACACTCTTAAAAATAAAGGTGCTTCACGATGCCACAGAAGAAC